GAAATGAATTGGTATGAATGTTCATCACATGAAGACTAGCAAAAAAGTTGGCAACTTATTTCTGTTTTCAGAACTTCTCCTTATGGGCAAGCATTACATCTCCTTTCATGCACTCCAGTCTACATTTGTAGTTAAAATCAAATAAATGATCTCAAGTTTTTTCAGTTTTTAAGCATCTACTAAGAGGGAAATATTAAAAAAAGAATACATCAAATAATTGTGAGACTTCTTAAAATTGAGTATGTGGGGGATTCATTGCAAAATGAAAACAAGAGAGTCATATTCTTAAGGCCTTATGATGTGAGGGCTAAAATAGTTGATGGTTTTTGGCGGCATCCATGCATCATTCCTGATGTTTCCACACTTAGAATTACTTATGAGGAGCTCAATGCAATCCTGAGGTACTTCCTATCTTGCTATTCCATTCTAATTCTTTGACAGGAAATACAGGAGCTTGCCCAGAATCTTCTCTAGTTTTATTTTCTTTCTTGAAATCCTTCCCTGCTTTTCTTTTGAACTTTGTCACGTTGTTTGGATTAGGACAGATTAAATTTTAAACAACTTCCATACTAGCAAAGGGAGACACAAGCCCAAAGGGGTTTGTCAGATGCAGTTGCTGTGAAAGATCCAGCTCAGTTGGGCTGGAGCGTGCAGCGGCCGGTTGTGTTTATTCTGCTATTTCTGTCTTTCGGCCTCTGATCTTTCCAGTATTTTTGGAGAAGCAGAGATCTTGCTGACTGAACTCTTTAGAGGATGAGTTACATGCGTTTTCATGTATTTTAATTGTCTGTAGACATTTGTGATGAATCTCTGTTTTACCTGGTATTTCCCAAGATGAAAATCAAGATTGCTCTGTCTGTTTGTCCTGACTCCCAGATCAGCACCCCTCTTTTTTAAGTAGGAGCTGAAGAGCCAGTGTGGCTGTATTGATACAGTCTGGTTTTCCTTAGCCCGCTACCTTCTGTGTGAAGTTTGGAGGGTAGCTTGGTTCCATGTTCACACAGTGCTCAATAATGTAAGACCTCTTGATAGCGTTCTAATATGATCACCTACAGTGGTAGATTAGGAAAAACTAACCACAAGAGTTATTCAGTCCCTTCAATTAAATTATTTGAAGGAATTTATCACCAACCATTTTCTAAGCAAGGAATAAAATATATGTTTATACATAAGTTTAATGTACATATTCCCTTGCATCATTGCTGTGGACTTCAGCAGTTGATTTTTTTTTTTTTTTGGGGGGGGGGGGGAGGTAGGGTAATAAGGAAAAGTTACGCTTCTTTTTCTGGTAACTAAAAAGCCACTCATATTTGATTTGAAGATTGGACTACCTTCAGAAGAGGTGTTTTGGGGACTATTTTAAAAACATAACCTTGGCTTTCCGTTTTTCCAGTAAGTAATGTTTTTCAGGTAGGGGCACATATGCTCAGTGTTAAGCAGTATTGTATCACAATAAGGACATTCTGAATAACGTATTCATGGTATATATATATTTATTGAGAGTTATATCTCTTGGCGGCACTACACATTATAATAATGAAAGTGTAAAGCAAGTACCCTGTTTTACATTTTAACAAACATCTTTTTTTTCTCAGAAAGAGCTAATACCAAGTTTTTAGAACATGTCAAAGTCATTTGTATTTTAAGAATGTAATTTCTTGCTGCTTTCAAGACAGTGGTAAGCTTATTTAATAAAGTAGTAATATTTTTATTTCTGCTGAATACTGTTTTATGGTGTTTCTGTGTTAAAGCCTGTTGAGAATTTCAGACCTGCTTACTTCTCCATCAAGTGGCTCTTGGTGCATACTGAAAATTATTTTACTATAACATAATATATGCAAATTCAGGACCTGAAAATTACGAGAACTATATGCAGGTTGCTTACGTAGTTCAGCACTTGTTACATCTGCATATTGCTAAAGCCTCACTACATCACTGTACACCATTCTGCAGGAAATCTGTCTCATTCAGTGCTAAAGATAGATGTCTCATGTTGCAAAGAGAAACTGACACCAAGAAAACATAACACTTTTTTAATTTAGGGTATGACACTGGGTTGTAAGAGCAGTAAGTTCTGCTCTCTCATGCTGTGTGTATGCAAGGGGAGTGAACTCTGCAGGGGATGTTGCTTCTGACTGGCTAATTTTTTTTGAACACTTGGCTTCTAAAGATGAATGTATGTTTATTGTAATTTTTGTATGTGATAAAAGGTGCCTTAACAGCCATTAAAACATTGAAATTATTTGACAGAGGAAGTCAGTATTTCAAAGTGGAATAAATCAAAGCACAAGGTATGTTTTTTTGTTGTGTTCATTTGCCACAGTTTAGCCTTGTGACAGTGTAAGCTCTTCCTTCCATTATGCATTAAGACTGCCAAGGATAGTTGACGTTTAATTTTTACAATATAACTTGACATGGCTTCTATCGTGATAGGCATCAGGGAAGTTTAGTAAAATTTCTTATTTGCAGCAAAGGTTACATGACTTCATTATACTATCTGCACATTTTTCCTACTTGAGATAAATTTTTTCAAGTTACTATGCCCTGTTTTGGTTTCAGCTTTAAAAAACAGTGTTTGCACACTTGGTAGTGTGTTTCAGAGCTATACAGTAGTTACTGTCCTCTTTCACACTGAATAAAGCTACAAGGAGCTGTTGCTCCTGAGGAGAATTACAACTGTGTTGGTAAGTGAAGAAAAAGCAGGATTTGACTTTTTAAACTGTATTTAGCATAGGCATCCTGCTCAGGTTTATGTCTGAAATGCACGTCTTACATAACCATCAGGAAATAAATAAAATTATTTACTTTTGATTTTCTTCTTAGAACAAACGAGAATATAAATGGGGAAAAAAAATTCTACTATGTGAGATTGTTTCCCATATGCCCAGGGAAAGGAAGAAAGATGCATACAAATGTTTAGCATGTGCAGGTTTCTTGGTGCATGATTGGCTCTCTACTTAGGAGTGGAATTCAGTGAAATAGGACTCCTCTTTTAAAAACAAAGAGTAAGCACACAACAAAGGATAAGTGATCAAATGATTAGCCAGAGGCTAATAGGAATGCAAGGGAAGAGTGACAGATTGCATATTAGGAGGAAATCTGATCTGGAAATTAATTTGAAGCTTTTTGCAGCTGAGGCTGCAAAAGAACTAATATTTAAATCTTTCTGAAGGACATAAATATATGAAAATTCTGATTTGCTTGTGTATAAAGTATTGTATAAGACAAGAAAGAAGGCTAATGGATGAATAAAGTTGAAGTATAATTTAGAAGAATTCTCCTCCCTCTCCTCCCACTTAATTTTTTTAAAAATCTGTCTTTGCTTAGGATGAAACATGCATCTGCCTGTAGCTTAGCGTGAGAAATTATGTTAATTTACTTACAAATTCTGGTGATTTAGAAATATGCATGCTGTAAGGTTTTCCGGTTGAATCTACATTGTGTTGTATGCAAATAGAGTAAGATCAGGACAGCAGATAAATACCTCACCAGACACAATCAACAGTTACATGTCAACAGGGAAATGTACTTGAATATTGAAAAAAATAGAGCTTTTAATTATGAAGAAGTGAATATTTCCTTATTTAGTGACCTACCAAATGGTTTAATTTAATGTTGTGGTAGGTAGATGTCACTTTATATTAATAGAATTTGCTTTCTTTATATAGAGACCACATTACCTTTCTTCAAAATTTAACATTAACTGCTGTAGTACAACAGTGTCTGAGTCCACATGGGTTTTTTTACAGGTCAAAGCATTCCTTTTGAAAAAAAACCCACAAGCTTATTCAGAAATCAGCTTACAGAAGCTTGATGGTTTACCTTTTTAAAATCTATGTTTCAATTTTAAAGCATGACTAAATTCTAAGAATTACTAAATGCAGAACAGTAAAATTTGAATACAGCAGATGACTTTTTGTCAAGCTTTAAATGTAAGTAAACTTTCATCAGCACATTAGTAAAATTAATTGCTTCTGAATGATGGAAATTAGTTTCATGTAGGCTTTGATATTATTTTAAGCTGTTTATAAAGCCTGATTTTTCTAAGTACTCTGCTGTTTTTTGATTCACATAAATACTTGCTGCTTATGGAGAAGAAAAAAGTGACATGAACAGTATGTCATTTAAGGTCTTAGTAAGGTATTAAATTAGGATAAGTTGTAATTTAAAAACCCTCTCATTTATGCCTTTGATCATTTTATATAGAAAAGGAGACAAGTGATAGCGAAGTAGCTTTTGGAGTTATGTGTATGCATCATGGCTTTCTTCTGAATAGTATTATAAACACGTCATTTCAGTTTGACACTCCTCCAAGAGTAGCTAACAATTTATCTTCTGATTTGCAGTTCCTGTATAGTTTTGTACTTGATGATGTTGTTGGGATCTTCTTGGTGGTGGGTTTAGCATGAGAAGCAGAGATCTGTCACTGATAATCCTCTTACCTCCAAGGGCCAGACCACGCAGTATATAAAAAAACCTTTCAAGTCCTTTTCTTGTTTTTAAATTATGTATTTATTTCACGTATTTATTTAGTACAGCAGTTGAATAACAATAAAAACTGAGTCTTTAAAAAAGCCTGTTGTATTGATAGAAACAAATCTTATTATTTAATCTTCATCATTAGCAATGTCTTATAAAGAGTAAAGAGGAAGGAGAAGTGCTGCAGTCTCTAGCCTGTAGGTCTGTATTCCCAGGTGAAAGGTCAGGCCTATATTTTATATTGTTTTGCCTTTTAGTCCTTTGGATTATGTTTTCCTCGTTTCAAGACTGACATTGTAACAGTCTCTTTGGAGGCATTAGCTAACATCAGTACAATACTCAGGGATTTGTAGCTATTTTTAAAGGAAGTATATGAGAAAATTAATTCTAATTCTGGTGCCATGGTGTCTAATATATAGCAGAGATGTTCCAATCGTAGCCACTCTGGTTAAGCCATGCTAATTGTTACAACCAGAGATATTGGTATTCTTCTACTAAATCTGTTCTGCTTCTGTTTGCAGCTATGTCATCTTATCTTTTAATTGTTAAGTCTGAACTTCCTGGTGCCGTTGCAGGATTTTTAAGTGGAAACGAGAGTGGGTAAGGAAAAATGCTTCATACATTCTGTATTTCTCTTGAAGAAGAAAGTGGTTCAGAACAGCCGAAAGAGATGGGTACTGACACTTCCCTCTGATCTCACATGCTAAAAAAATTAGTTCTTTACAGGAGTTCATGGAATATGAAATGTATTTGGCATGTGCAAGCCTTCTGCAGCACACACAGAGAGCATGATTCTTTCCTCATAGCAATTTCCCATCAGACGACCTTAAAGTCAGTGGCAAAACTCCATGTACAGAAATCTCCCTTCTGTAAAAATTTAAAAGGGGAAGCAGGAGGGGACAGGAGGGAGAAGAGGAGAAACATTTAAACTACTGTCATGTTATCACTTCACATATTTCAAAACCACAGTACAAAAACCAGCAGGCATTTAAATTTAAATATTTTGTTGTCTTGCTCCAGTCATTGGACTTGCCTTGGGAAAAATGCCAGGTTTCCAGACTTGGTTTATAATTCCTTAACTTGGCTCCCAGTAAAGAAATTGTTCTTTTCAATTGAGCTATAAAGCTGTATGTAAGGAGTGTATGCCTCAGAATTCTGTCAAAACTGTTGCAAGAAATCTCTGCCTGTGCTAAGACAAACATTGCAGCTTCAGCACTGAAATATCTTGTTCAAGTTGTGCCAGTGCTGCTGTCATTCATAACAGTGTATCTTAGATTGTATTACAGCTGTTTTTTCCAAACTGCTATTTTCAGATGCTTTGAGCTCAACACTTTCTCTGGACTGAAACGTGGTGAAAATGTCTCAAGGCTGTGTGATGCCTGTATTATTTCTGAATGTTGTGGGTGAATTTTGAGTTTGAAATTAGTTTTTTGAAAAGGTACTTTAGTTCATTTTATATTTTCTCATTTATAACTTTCCCATTTTATAAAGAACATTTTGAGAATTAAATGTGGTAATCTGACTTTCTGTCTTTCCAACTTCCTGGCCCTTGCAACAGTATGTTTTTAGTGAGGGGCTTTTTATTTTTTTTAACTATTAGGTTTTATGTGTATATGTCATTTTTAGTCTTCTAATGTACCTCTTACAGCTGTGGTAGTCATCAGATTTTCATCTGGGTGCTATCACCTCCTCCTTCAAGATCATACTTATAAGTGTACTCTTCATACGCAGGGGCATTGAGCCTGCTACTGTATCTGCTGCATGTGCCTTCCAGTCTGTCTGTTCCCGGATTTAGTTTATAACATCACTTCCTACTGGTTTTAATTTTGTCAGCTCTGTTTATGCAAAGTGACTTCCCAACAAAGATAGAGTTTTAAGCAAACAGCTTATGAAACCTCGTAATAGGTAGAATCTGGAGGTCCTGCATGCATGCATACTGCTCAAAGGATTGATCTGCCTAAAAAGGGCAATATAAACAACTTCTTTATTAAGGTGCCTATTTAATAACACTCCCACCAGCTTTGTTTATCAAGGTCCTAGTGCAGATCTGGATGCAAACGCTGGCGAACATGCAGACAGGTTACAGTGGTTGAACTGGTTATTATAAATCATCTGAGCCATTGTAGTTCGCAGTGCGCTCTCAGCACTGCCACCACCCATACCTCTTCCTTAGCTGAAATTACTGTTTAAGATTAGAATGAAGTTCAATTTTGCATTTAGGAAGAACTGAAATTGTTCATCGGAATACTAACCACAGCTCAAGTGGTAAGCTGATTGTCAGCCAGGGTCTCATCCTGTTTCTGCCCCTGTTCTTGGGAGTTCTTCCATTGATAAATGTTTATTCGACACAATTTGACTCCTCTATTCTTTGCCCAAGCAAATGTTTCAAATGCCATGGTCGAGCAGTATTCCAGGTACGTCCACACAGCTGACCTTCTCTGTATGCCCACATCTATATTTCTTACATTTTGCCATATGAATTGCCATGGTAGGTCATAATCTTTTGTTTCTGTGTATTTCTTTGTAGATATTAAGAGTAGGTTTTTTTACTGACAGAGTTTTCAAATTGTAGGAAATTGTCCCACAAAAACAGGTAATCACATATCAAGCCTAAGTAGCAACTTATTTATGCAAAGGGCATAAATATTGACTAGTTTGATTAAACTTCTTTAACTAGACCGCTTGTTTCCAGATGTGGTTGCACAACTGTCCTCTTTTTGTTAAGTCATTATTGCATCCGACATGCTTTCATTTGGGTGCAGAATTTATCTTTAACTGTACTTAGAATGTATCAAAAGTGTCAGTTAAACTATCTGTGAAAATATTTTATCTACATAAACCAAGCCACACATTTGGGAAAGCCATTTAAAGACTATTTTGTGCACTGACTTATTTTTATAGGTAAAGGTTAGCAGGTGTGCATGTGTTTGAAGGGCTCAGAGCCAGTGTATAATACATCTTCATGTCTTTAATAAAAAACAAAAACATACAATATGAACACTTGTTAATTGTGAGTTAAGATGTTTCAGTCTGTCTGCATAACAAGAATTCAACATAGTTTTGATGACATAAACACAATCCTCATTTGAAACTGTGTTCAAAAGTTGTAATTTGTGAGCCCTCTGTTAACATTTAATGACCCTGTCAGGAGGGTATGATTGATGCAATTAAGTTGTCTTGCTTGCGAGTTATATAATTGATACGGACTGAGAGTAAGATCCTAATTTAGAACATATGAATCTCTTGTCCTGTTGCATTCAGGAATGAAATTAAAGCAATTTATAAATGTCTGCTTTTAGTTAGAATAGGAGGGAGGGAGGAGGAACATCTGCATGCCGAAGCATTTTCAGTAGAGTCAAGGATTTATATTCCATATTTCATATTTGGAACGCTTTTATCATATAGGATTAAATTTGCAGATCAAACTGATTTTAAAGGCAATATCAAAACATTTATTCTGGCTTTGGAACATAAGTGTATTTCTACAACAGTATTTGGAGGATAAAATGGACACATTTTTTGATAACCAGTAAATGGTCCACTATTAAGTTTTTTTGAGATCTTTTAAAATATAATAATTGGCATTCCAAAATTAAGCAGTTTACAAAATTCTTTTTTCTCCTTCCCATTACTTCACTGAAGTTTTTCTCTCTTTTCCTTCTTCCCCACCAAATGTTTTCATTTAACCGTAAGGTAACCAAAATAATTTTTTCTCTGGCCCACTGAGCTTGTGAGCTACAATGGCAACTGTAGATTTGCTGCATGCTTAGAATCGGGAGACTTAAACCAGACATCCCACATGTACACATAGTGCAGCATTCATTATACTTTTGCCTACTGCTCTGATACTGTTCCTCCTAATCTGATCATCCACCATACTAGAGAGAATGGAAAAGTTTAAAAATATGCGAATGCTAAATGATAACATTGTGAAGAATGCTATCAGCAGGGAGCGAGTCTCAGCAGTGTTGCTTTTCCACTGTAGTAGCAGCAGACCTAGCTAGTAATACACCTTTCTGAGTAATTTTTAATACAGACATTGTCACTTAAGGGTTGCATTGATTTTGCTGTGGTGAAGATGCCCTCAACCTTGAAATTTCTCTGTTCATTTATATTACATAGTTTTTCAAATAAGTGACACAAGTAGTTGTCCACGATATATGACAGTAGTTAATATAGGTATATGGTAATTTTTCTTCAACACAGGTGTTATGCTACTTTCCTTATGATAACTTGAGGTGCTGCCTATTTATTAGGTGCTAACCATATCCTGGACTAAATAAACTTGAAGGTCAAAGGCCAAGGTGTTTATAGGTAGTAAAGTCAAAGGCTGATGTGCAAGATGTTTATCAGTACAGGATATGGTTATTACCAAGTTAGGGGGAGCCACCCTCAAGATGTTTCTGTTTCTTAACAACTTATCCATCTGTACTTTCCTCAGTTTGGAGATGAGATTTTGATACTTTTAATAGATTTTAAATGCATTAAGACTTCATGTGTCTCTACAATGCTTTTTTTATATGTATAGTTTTATGCTTAAACATTATAGCAGATTTCATTATCATAATTTCCATCCCTTCTGTCCTTTAATTCTTTTTGTGTATGTGTACACAGAACGAGTGATCACTTTGAGGGGAGTTAAAGATAAGAAAGCCCTCTTTAATGCTGTTCTTTCTTATATCATCTCTGGACAGCAAACATAATTTCAAATTAATTAAAGTTGATTTACTTGTTGTTTTCTGTTATTTGACCACTGTCATGATAGGTGTAACGAAACTTGGGCAGAAAAGAAAGTTGGTATGTTTAGAAAACATAACGGTAGTTCCAAAGAAATAGGTTGGGTACCTGCTTAGCTTTCTATTTGACACCTCTTGGAAGTGGTAAAGAACTAAGGCCATGCAGGAGTGAGTAATAAACTGGAAGTTCAGCAGTAAGTGAGAATTAATGTTGCTGTTTCTTCCACTTGTGTAAATATGCAATTTGGTGTAATGCAATTCAAGGTATATGTAGCCTACTATGTAAGTACTTCTACTGGAAATCTGTAACGTAAGAAATACCCCTGCCCTCTCATCATTGCTTTGACTAAAGGCAGAGATTTACATATTGTGCTGCTGAGAAATAACTTCACACACATCAGACTCCTGATCCATGCAGACACTTGCCTGTAGAACATTGCCTGCAATGCTGGTTCATTACAGGATGGTGCTCCGCTTCCTCAGTATCTAGGAGCTCTATTTTGTATCACAATATAGAAACTAGGAATAAAAATTCATGTAAATAGTATGTGAAACTGGAAATTACTTATTTTTCTTCTCCAGTGGTAATTTTGTCTAAGATCACAGTTTTAAAGTAGAACATATTTTTTTAGGACTCTTGAGCTTTGTATCGATCATAAATAGATTTTTTCAACAGGTCTTGGTATCTTGATGGGAGACTGCTGCTACTGATTACTTCAGTCTGCATTGTTTTTCCTCTTGCACTTCTTCCTAAAATTGGTGAGTAATTAAAGGAGAGAATCGAATATTATTCTACTTTAGTAGCAATTACCATTGAAGACTTTAAAAACTTAATGGGTTATTTATTTATTTTAACTGGCAGGGGGCTGGTGATGGTGGGGATTACTTAAGTTGTAGTAGTGTGTTCTACCTTGCAGCCCTGCCTAGTTAACCTATTACTTGGGTTGCAGTAGTATTTTGTCTGCAATACTAAAATAAAATCTTTACAGCAGAACATTAAAGAGCTGCATTTACTTACAGCATGCCATTAGTGGTAAGCCAGTTCTAATTCTGCCCTACAAAACTACATAAATGATCTGTGACAGGCAGTTGGAATGTTGTTATTTTGAGTCCTAAGCCCCAGATACCAAGCACTGTAATAGAAAACATGCCTAAAATGTAAAGCTTTAGCTGTACATTAGGATCACTTTCCTTATAAATTCTCTTTTATTTTTACTGTTATTTTACAGGCTTTCTTGGCTACACAAGTAGTTTATCATTTTTCTTTATGGTGTACTTTGCTCTTGTGGTAAGTTAAAAATCTGTGCCCAGCTTATCTATTTTTTCTTTCTTATTGTTTGAATGTTTTCATAAGCCTATTTTGAAATGAATTGTCTTCCCCTCCCCCACCCCCCCCTTAAATTTTTATGTGAAATTTAGAGTTTTCCTCAAGTTCCGTATGTGCTTGCTTGGACAGACTACATTTGTTTTGCTGAGGCATGGAAATGTATATGAACTTTAAATCATTTGAAAAGATTTAAAATAATTATATTTTGGACTGGTAAATGTAACAATATTTTTGTTTTGCTGACGGTGCAGTGAAGGGAGCTGGCACATACACTTTTGTTTCCCTACTAGTAGTGGAATGGAATTCTGTTTTCCTAGCTTCTAACTATTACTCACTGCAACTAGTGCAGAAGAAAATTTAATATACTCCAAATAAATTAAATTTACATGTATAATGGAGTGACAGAGTTCAAAAAAAGGCAAAGAAAACTAGAACTTCATTAAGGCAGTTTACAAGATTCATTAATACGTCAATGACCTTATTCTTCTTTCCCGCTGAAAGGAAAAGTTCTTTTCTCTGAGCCAGATGGGGGCTTTTGACCCTGATGTTCACCCTCTCAAGGCCCCTGTGAGGTGGATGTTTCCAAATATCAAAAGTGAGACCTGCTAGGCAGATCTGAGAGAGAAAACGTGCCTTTAAGTTGCACTATTTTTCTTTTTACAGAGAAAAAGTATGTTAATGCACATGTGTAATACGTAGTATAGCCAAGCAGCTCACACTCTGTCATCTAGGTATAGAAACAAGAATCTTATTTGGGAGCCTGGAAAAATGTTCCCCCTCTCCCCTGTCGTTCTGGCTTGCATTGACTTGCATTTAATACCTGTTTTACAAAGGGATAAACAGAGTTGAAGGCAAGTTGAACAAACATGCCATCCAGGAGACCAAGGCAATCCATTAGGAACTAAACCATGTGATAAAACCAAACTTCAAAGCTGTCAAAACATCTCCCTAGGGTATCCCTGGAGAGTTGCAGTGTTTGTAGGACCTTAGGAAGTATTCCTCCTAAGCTGAGCATGGAGGAGCAGCCACAGCCTCTCCAGAGCTAATGGAAATTCATTTGTAATATTTATAAATTACCTTAACTTTTGACCTCTCTCCTAAAATTTATCTGGAAAAAAAAAAAAAAAAAAAAAAGAAAACAAAAGAAAAAGCACTAACTATAGTACTGAAATAGGTCTTTACCTGAAGGTAGTTGCAAGAGTTATAAAACAAGTTCAGCTCCTGGATTTCAGTGGGGATGTGTATGCATCTCTGGAGAAAGCTGTTGTAATGGGTGGATGCAGTAAAAAACAATTTTGGGCTCAGAAAGGGGAAGTGTGTAAGCAAGTCTTGTGTGCAGACATGTCAGACTGGGATGGGCTTAGTTCTGATTATCAAAAAAGTAGGTAAAAAGTACACGGGCTACTGGATTTCTTACAAAATGGTTAAATTTGTATGCTTACTCTTTGTTGTTAAATGACAAAGAAGCAGCCACAGTAAATCTAATTGAGGTCAAAATTTTTAAAAGCCGTTACAGATATTTAAAGAAAACTAATACTTGTCACAGAATATTCTCTCTGACTTCTTTAGGCACTGAAACTCAAAGGCATTAACTGTGGTTTAGTTTTCATATCTAATGGCTTTGAAGTGGATGATATGTGCTGTTGAAATGGTGTTTTAGTTTACACAATGTTAATTTCTGCATGGCAGATATGTTTTAATTTGTTCCAGAAGAAAACTGTGTTAGTCATATGGAAGTAATACAATTATATTTTGCATATACAATAATTCCGTGCATTTTGAAGTCCATACCATCTGTTCAGCTTTTTGCCAGCAAGCCACAGTTTTAATACAGCCTGCAGAAAAGATAGGTACAATAGACAGCATATGTCTTGGTCAGTAGGGTCTAGTGAGTGCACTGAGCAAAAGGTCTGGAGACGGCTCTTTGTTACCTGTGCTAAGCTGTGGGGCTTGGGCAGGTCACATATCTCCTCTCTGTGCTTCAGCATCTTTTCCTTTAAAGTTAATATGCTGCCTGTAGTCCTCACTTGGAAAAAAGTGAAAACACTGAGATGAGCTGGTCTGGGAGGAAAAATAAAAAAGTAACTATTAATTCAAAGCCAGATTCTGTGAGGTCCTGAGCACTTTTTGTTTCTGATTGTTGAATACTTCTCTGACTTGAATCCTAAGTGAAAATAAATTAAATGTGATCGTTAAACTTTTTTATTGCCTTCCCTCTTGCTATATTGAATATTGGTGAAGAGTAAAGACAGATTTTTCTTTTTTTGTGGAGACAGCTCTATTGGTAGCTTGTTCAACAAAGGTGTTAATGATTCCTGATGGTATTTTTCTAAATCTCTTGTTTATGTTCCCAGAACAAAATGTGTCGTAGATTGGGAACCTGCCACATGTAATGAATGATGTTATGCACAGAGCGCTTCACTTTGCCGAGTGCTGTCAGTACTGCTGGAATAAAGGGAGTCCTCTTTTTCCTCTGCAGGATACAAAAAAGCAACATCACTGAGAATATTAGAACATTTTGAGCCTCTAACTTCATTTTCTAGCAGTGTTTTTGTGTGCATTTAAAATACCCTATTTCCACTAGAATATCTCTTTAGGTTTTAGGTTATTTTCACTCAAAGCCAAATGTTTGTTATACTCAAAAGACAATGTTCATATGAAATAGGCTTAAAGTTCCAGAGGAAGCTTGTGCTGCCTGCATCACTGCTCAGCTAACCAGGCTGTGCTGCCATCTTAAAAATCTCTTCCTGTTGGGAGGGACACCTCATTACACACAATTGGAAACCCAAACAGATTGGAATAATTCATCAGGTGGGCAAATATAATTACAGATTTTTAAATTGTACCTATTGCATTATATTTTGTCTCCTTTTATTTCCATTTCAATCTGTTCTTAATCTGTATTAATTTTATTTTAGAAAAACGTTCTTCAGCTTTTTAGGTTTGGTTTGTCTTGACCTCCCTCTGTAGTGTTTATATATATATATACATATTTGTTCTTTAGCCTGCAGCAGACCCTGTCCCACCACTGCCAGGCACACTTTCCTTTCCCAAAAAGCTTCATCCCCCTTTTCATTGCTCAGGAAGGCTATTCCATCCTTGGCCAGAGTTCCCACAAAACTTTCTCCTTTGGAGCCTTCAAGGTGTCTCCTGTATTTCCCCTATCTGGATGCCTTTAAACACAGGGATCTTGAAAAAATATTTTGTCACCTTCCTCAGCTTCATAAATGTCTTCAGCTAGCCAGCGAGCTTGGGCTTCCCGGGGAGATAGCACAGCCGTGGTGCAGCAGCAGCAGCCGGCATCTGTCTCAGCTTGTAGCTTCTCGCTGCTTAGTGCTCCAGAAGGAGATGAGGCAGAGGTGACCCACGTCACAGTTATGAATATGTACAATGCAGGCCCACAATATATTTTAGTGTTTGCTTCTTTCCTCCTTCTCCATTGCTTGCTCTTCAGGTGAGCTTCTTGATGTACTACCAGTACGTTCTTGTCCCTTCTTACACCCTTCCTAAGATAACCTTGCAGTTCAGATTGCACAGAGGGAGGCAGTTTAGCCAATAAATAAGCAGGTAAGAACAGATCTCCTGGTATAAAGCAGTGCCAGTTGAGTGTCAGAAGCATGGTTGGAGGATTTCCATTGATAATCCTCTTTCACAAAGTGTGCAGACTGCTGTTGAGCAAGCCACTACCCAGTTCCATGGCTTGAGTTGTTGTGAGTTGTTCTTAGTGATGCAATTTAAGACGTGTGTTATTGCCACAATGGACTGGACGTGCCATGTACCCACAGTTTCCTCTCCCCACATGTTGTCCGGAGGGGTAGCATTTGTTTGCTTCTTCTGGCACTGGTGACAAGAGGGGGAGCATCTGATCCCTATCCTCTGCGAAACACCACTTGGCTGCAAGCGAAAAATAGTTCTCTGAGCCAGGAGAAGAGCTCTCTTCCATGTTATTCTTCTCGTGAATCTGAGTCTTTAATTAAGTTTTTAATTATTTGCTTTAGGCTTCAAAAGAATTATAAACTCTAAAGCCAGGCAACTACAATAGGAAATTAATTACAGTGAGGAGAGCAATGCAACTATCATTTTAAACTAGGCTCCTGAAAAAGGAGGTAACATTTCTTATTTTAATTTCCCTTTGATTTTCAGCCCTGTTACTTGGCAGTCCCTAAACCAGCAGGGTGTAGCTAAAGCCCCAATGACATTCTGGGACAATAATTGCATTTATTGTTTTTCCTTTGCTTTCTAGTCCAAACCATATGTTTCTGCCTTTTAAGATTAGCCCTAGGCTCTGCTCTATCTCTGTTAAGGGCTTGTCTACTTAGGGAAAGAGCCTGGGATAGCTAACACAGCAGCTATTCTGTATGGGAGGCAGTTAGTGTGGAGCACAGAGAGAGTGACTGCGGAGTGCTGGTTGTATTTCAGTTAATGTCAGAGCTCATTTCAGTGCACCACCTCCAGATCGGCACGCCATAAGGCTGCCAGCTGTGCGTAGGGAGCAGCTGTATGGAATGGCACTGACAAGTTTTTCTGTCAAGTTTCCTCCTTGTGGCCTAACTGTCTACCAGTCAAGCCTGTTAATTTGCTATTGGTGTATCTCCCTGCTTTGTGTGCCAACAGTTTGGTATTTTAGCTACCTGCACTGAAATTTAAACTGATTTTTAGGGTATCATTCGTACATTAAATATGCTGTCTTTGCAGATCATGATAAAAAAATGGTCGATCCCTTGTCCTCTACCTCTAAGTAGTGCCATAGAGTCTTTACAGGTAAGGGTGCATGCTGTTTTGAAGTTCTAATTTTATTAGTAACTGTAATGCTTTTTTTACATTAACACTTTCAGAATTACTTGTAATTTAAATTCCTTCTTAATTATCACAGAAACTAAAAAGTTTCATGTCTGTGGTTTGGACTTATTCTTTCATTATGCCATTTTTTTGCATGTATGTCTTGCAGGTTTCAAATTCTACTGAGGATTGTAAAGCAAAGCTCTTTCATCTTTCAAAAGAGGTAATCTCTATTAACAATACGCAAACTTAAAGGGGGGTGGTGGTTTTTAAAGAACTGGGGTTTAAACTCTATGCAGGGTAAGCTATTCTTCTGTAAAACTAGTTATAGGCTGCTGAAGTATTTCCTATACCTGCTGCCAAATGTTATCCAGTCTCACTCTTTCCTTTTTATATGAAGGCTGGCTGTCCAAGTTAGCATTTATGAAAACATTTTGCAAATATGACCAAAGTATAAATTATAACAGATGCAGCAGTGGTCAGCTTCATGATGCAGTTGAATCAAGCCAACTTCATATGCCCTCAGCTGGAAGTCAGTGCTACTTGGCTATATGGACACTTTTAGTTCCTGGAGAGGTAGAACAGGCTTCTTGAAACTGCCTGGACCTAACCTTAGTTTTTCCTTACCTGAAGGTAATTCTTCAGGCCTAATGCAATCTTGTGCATTTCACTGGATGCCAGCTCTGATATTTGTTAAAGTGGCATTTAAATCATGTCACCACCTACCAAAGCTTGCAGGAGAGGAAGTACTCTAGTCTCTGTGGGGTGAAGAGGAAGGGAAAAAGGGAAGAATAAATCTAGGATAGGCCTGTAGTGTAGTGGAATTTAGGAGAGACACAGTTGGTTGCATTTGTCCAAAAACCCCAAAATCTACCCCCCACCCTCTGAAGAAGGAGGGTGGGGGGGAAGCTTGGGCAATGCAAACATGAGACAAATGTTATCTATAGATCAAAGAAGAAATTTTGTTTTGACCAGAAACATCTACTGTGAGATTCTGGCATTTTGTCCTTTGAAGAATCTTGGGACTCCTCTCTACTTCTTTTTTTATCTTAACTTTATCAATAGGAAGTGGCATACTTTTACCAGTATGGGCCCAGTTACGTCAGCACAAAAGTGTTTGTTACAGTTCAGCTTATTCCACTTGGCAATTGAAGTAAGCTATACTAGATGGTTCACCTCTTCTGTTTCAAGTTTTTGGAATAATATACCACTAGTTGTGTGGTTGCAACTTTAATGATATAACTATCTTAAAACTTCAGATGCCAAAGCATATTATGTTTTCTGGATGCTGTATTCAGATTTTTGTGAAGCAGTAATAACAAAATAGGGAAGTCAGGATGAAGGAATGAGTAATTTGACAGGTACCTATGAATATTAGAATTCAGAACACTTCCTAGAAAATTTCATGAATGATACACTGACTGGGGCAAATCCTACTCTTTTTACCTAAGTACTTGACCTCAGTATAGCTAAAAATGAATCTTTCAGTTGTTGGCTTAGGGATAGCATGGCCTCTCCTGATCGTGAAACAGTAAGTTATGACCACCACTTGAAGAGATACCGGTTGAAAAGGTCTGTTTTTTGTGAAATTATTCAGGGACACCATTCTCTGTTGTGGAGATTTTTGACAAAGCATTAATGTGGAAAGAGTTCTACTGACTTGCAATGATTGAACTGAATTCTGAATAAATCCAGCTATTTTTCCAAACTCTGTAATAACAACCTACAAAATGTTTTTCTTCTATTTTAGAGTGCTTATGCAATACCAACTATGGCCTTCTCTTTTCTCTGCCATACCTCAGTTTTACCCATCTACTGTGAGCTCCGAAGGTAATGTGCAATAACACCTGCAATACTGAAATATAATGGTAGTATTTCTGTAATATTTCCCATAATTAATCTTCAGTAACTTTTATTTTCAAGTCAGTGCCATCAAACAATGCAGACTTAAGTAGCTTTCATGTTTTGAGGAAATGTACAGTTTTAGTCTGTACTCGCTTTTCCTCTCTTACAGGAGAGAAAAGTAGCAAATATGGTTCCACCATCAATGTCAGTACATTGTCCTGGCCTGGACAATCTGGAGAAAAAAGGTCATTTGCTAAGGTACTTAGTAGTTAATTTTTATTGTTGTGACTGAATCTGCATTTAGCTACATGTGATTCAGTGTTTTTTGACCCTGTTCCTGGCTCTGAATATGTATCATCATGTATAAATCAAAATTTTTATTTAAAAGATACTTTGGTATGTCTGAATTCCCTACAAGATGGGAACAATGTTATTTGTCTGCATGAAAAGTGCCCTTTAATTACCAGATTAACAATACTTTTGAAAAGCCTAAATATTAGTGACAGCACAGCACAGACCTCAGCAAATATTCTGTGGCCATAAATTAAAATGATGCTTGCTTATGAAAGGCAAGCTGCTACATAGATTGCATTGTGTTTAATAGGCCCCAATACAGATTAAGCAACACTAATTTTCTTTTTTTTTTTTTAATTTATTTTTTTTTATTGTTTTAGTCCATCCAAGAGTAGAATGCAAAATGTAACTGTCACAGGAATTGGTCTGAGTTTCCTAATTTACTTTACGTCTGCCCTGTTTGGGTACCTGACATTTTATGGTAAGTATATTCTTCAGATGTTCTTTAGAATGAAGGCTAATAATAGATGGTAAATGCATTCTGTCTGGAGTACTTGAGGTTTGTTTGTGCATTGATACGCCTGAATCTTCAGAAATCTTGCTCCTGTGAAGACTTAAGAATATGCCTAACACGGCAAAGTATTACAGTCTCACTGACTTCTTAAGGTGTAATGTTGCTAAATTTTGCAGGGCTTATACTCTAAAATGCTATACAGACAAGATACTGGCCCCTAAACTGTAGCTGATGGTCTGTTGATGTCCTCTAATGCTATGTAATTAGACTACTCATTGCCACTAAATGTTGGACTATATAATATTTTCACTTAAAAGCTGGGAATGGATCTGTCATGGTCTGTGAGAAATTTTGAGATCTGATAGTATTCTGCTTGTCCAACAAGTTTGAAAGGTCTGTTCTAAGGCTGTATCATCTAGCAACATTTATCACTTAACCCTGTGATATCCCAGCATATTTGTAGTCTCTAAGCACTGAGAGCACTGAGACCTTTTATGAGGATACAAAGCATGTTTGACTTCTTTGTTTTGGTTTTGTATTTTTACAAATTAATTGGAACTTAACACTAGCTGTCTCACTAGAAATGTGCTAAAAGTGGAAAATACTTTTCCCATGAATCATCCAATTTAGGAAAGTTTTATTTTAAAGGATTGCACAAAGTGATTTCTTTATGATATCTGTTACGTGTAATGTAAAGACAGACTAGAGGACTCTGAGAGAAAAAATGACAAGGAATGTAAGAAAGTTAAATGGTTAGAATCAGAGAAAGCACCCATCTAGTTTTGTGTATTGACTTCAGTGGAGGGCAGTGACAAAAGACTATGAAAGGATTTAAAAATTTAAAAGAAAAAGCTTTGAGTTGGGCTTCCTAGCACATGTTTCCGGGCTTCAGTAATCTGTGTTGCGTCCTGCTGCCGAGCCAGAGACGGTGTCTGATACATGAACGGAACCAAGAAATGCACATTTCTTAGAGATGTTGTTGACATAGTGCTTAATGAAGTAAATACACCTTTTTATTTACCAAACAGAAAAATGGGTGGGGTATGACACTTGCCCTACCAAATTCTACAGACATCTTTAATTTTCATTTGCTGTAGGGTTTACGTGGTAGTGTGCTTCAGTACCAGTTTAATAGCTCTGCATTTGGACTTCTGAATACTTCTGGGTACAGATTTTTAGTTGAGCCTAAACATAGATGACTTTGGCATTCTTGCATTTCCCAAGTAAGTACACAGAAAGATTTCAGAACCCTTATCTACACAGTCGCCTTTTTTTAAAGGTCCATCATAACCTTGGCAAAAGTAGGTGTCTCTTTCATACAGCAATTTTAGTATCCTGTCATACAACGTCACAGTTTGATGCCAGTTTGATATGAAATGTCATTTGGCTCTATGTATCCTGCTGTAAATTTGTGTTATGGTGTGTTTTGCTCACATAGCATGCACTGCCATAATGAATTGCCTCTACTTGGTGATCTGTCTTTGGAGTAGTTCCATGCTGATGCCATCACATAAATGTATCACAGTCATTTATGAGGATTCTTGGAATGTCTTCTGAAAACTCACCCTTTTGCGAGATAATCATGTGCTAACCTGTGTTGACTGAAATGAATAAAAAGTCTTAAAAGAGACAATAAGGCAGTGAGACAAAAGTGTTCTGATTAGGATTTCCTCTCCTTTCAGAGTGTTTTATGTTTTTGGATCGTTTTGATGAGATAGTGTCTGACAAAGTACAAAGAATATGGGATTTCAGCAGCCAATAATTCCAGATTTCTAGGGAATTTTGCACCTTTTTTTCCCCATAACTGTCTGAAAATGTTCCTTTGACACTCATAATCCTTTGAAAAATTATATGGGGAGTCTTGAAACCCCAAAGAGCATATAGGCCACTATTACTGTCTCTGTGTGGTTTGTAGGAAAATATAATTTTGAGTGCAAGTCTGAGAGATTCAGCAGGCAGTGTGGAATGACCATCTGTCTCCAGATGAGATCTCAATAAGAAGTGGAAAAAAAAAAAAAAAAAAAAAACAAAAGGAAAAAAAGAAAAATGGTAGTAGTCCTAGAAAACATCCTGGTTCCTGTTACCTTCACTGTCATGATTTCTTTGGGACTAGATGCTGGCTTGACCATAGTCTTTTAGTCTGTTTCACTGGAAACATTTCTGGTTTTCTGCAAGCCTGATTTCTTTTAGTACCTTAGACTCAAGAGCCTAAGACACTGGAACCAACCTTGGATGTCTGCAAGAGATATCCTCCCCCCACTCCCCTTCCCTTGCAAGCAGCTTCTCCTTTTTTTACTTTTTGGTTGTCTTGTTTAATTAACTTATTTAAGTAGAGGGAATCTGTTCCCTGTTCCTAAAACAGCAGTCCAAGAAAATGTAAAACATTTTATTTTAAATTGAAAACAAAAAAAGAGTTTTTGAAATGAGACATACTTCATCTTTGTGTGATTCAGAGAGTTTATTCTGTTTTCTGTGAATTTGAAACTTCATACGGTCACTGGACTTTGGTGGAAATTTTGGTCCATTCTGAAGTCCAAAAAAGCATAGAGTCAAGGTATGCTGAAAAGTCAGGGTAGCACACGACTTTCAGGGCTCTGACTTTTTCTGTTAACTTAGTGAAAATTTTCACCTTAAAAGGGCAAAAATCAAAGGCGAAGGGTTCACGACTCATTCATCACTTACTGCCCCACTTCTGCCTTGAGTAGTACAAAACCAACACCTGTGTTGTGGTGGCGTATCCGTGGCATATGGTACTGTGGGAATTCCACAATAGAGTCAGTTTTGCAAAGCTAACGATGCATGTGGCAGAGAGCACGTGAGATTCTTACAGCTGAAGAAGAGAGAGCTGAGATTTGAGAGTGTCTGGCCTGGTTGGGTGCGTTGCAGCTTCAGGCCTCTGTTTTTCTCTGGGTGCTGCAAAAATCCAAACTGACAGCCCTCAGGTGTCCTTGTGCTGCATTTGTCTATTTGCTTGACACAGGGAGAAATCGATCTCAGTTGTCAATAGTTTTGTTGGGGTGTTTGTTGTTTTTTTTTTTTTTTTTTTTTTTAAGAAACATCTTCTGGAAGTGTAACTGACGCTAATTGTCCTTTTCCATATCATCCAGCAATATATTGCTAACTGTAGCCAGTACAACACGTGCGTTAACATAGTTTTGAACATTTCTTTCTTCCTTTAAATCAGGATTGCGGCTTTTCTTTCAAATCACGAAATTTTACCTTTGCATATCACTTAACATTTCTGGGGTAAAAAAAGGAAATGCAATTCAACCAATTTAGCAAAACTAATTTGTTTCTGGCTTTTAGTTCAACCAAAAGAATCCAGTGGTGACTGTTATAGCCACCTAAAACAATTTTTACTGTAGAGTTGGCTTCATGTCACATCATCTTTCTTTTTAATGCTTTCTCTTTCATATTTGTATCTTTTCTTTAGGTAGCTTTGGCTTCAGCAGAGGCTCTACAGAGACTTGCCTGCTGAATTTTTTTCAGTTTTCTCGAGGTTAGGTATCCTAGTGTATCAGTAATGCCAGTGATGTGCATCTGCAACCCTGCTCCACTCTGCACTAATCACAAGCAAATTGATCAATTTAAATGTAAGCTTAATGTGTGATTAACAAAGCAGTTAATTTTTCTTATTTTCAGACAAAGTGGACTCTGAATTGCTGCAAGGCTACAGCAGGTACCTGCCACATGATACTCTCATCATGACTGTTAAAGTAGCCGTATTGTTTGCTGTGCTTTTGACAGTCCCTCTCATCCATTTCCCAGTAAGTACTCCTAAATGTTTTGAAGCTGGCCATAAGCAGTGGTAACACTAATGCTTTGCAGACTGCAATATTTGAGTCACATCTAGTCTTGTGTATCTTATTCACTTGTCAAGTGATTGATCAAAGACCACATATTTGCATATGTTCCATGAGAGCTCCAAAATAAAAACCTAACCACTAAGCTAATTTGTGCTCTTGAGACAGATTTCAGATTAAAACTAGCCCACAGCATTGTTTTTAATTTAGAGAATTCAGAACTTCTAAAGTTTACTTAGTTTTTTTTTTTCTTTTTTTTTTTTTCTTCCCCCTCTTAAATTAAATTTTGCTGACTTGGTTTTTCCTTTCTACATGCACGCACCCACACACAAATACACTTACACTTGAAAACTCAATTTAATTGTAAATTAAAAACACATATTGACTTATTTCACTAAAACTCCCTACTTTAGTTTATCAGTACCATGTTAGAACTGAAAATTCATTTAGATAGGACAAAAAAAAATTGCATGCAAACCTATGTATATAGAAGTGTATAGATGACGTATCAGTTGGCAGCATGCCAGTTGCTACCAATCATGCTGAAAGAAACAAAGCATTATCCCCCCAACCTTCTTTTGTCCCTGTAAAAAAGGAGTAATTCCTTAAGATTAATGGCCAAGTGATAAATATGGCTTTAATACTAAAGTAAACTCTGTGCTACAGAAAGGTAAAAGAGTTAACTATTGCTAAGTTTTTTGCATTTTTAAAATATTATTTCACATCTGGAATTATCTAATTCTTAAGTTTATGAATTTGAGATAGGACTTAAATATATGTATGTATTTACCCATGCAATGTTTCTCTTCATATTATGCAGGCAAGGAAAGCTGTATTGATGGTATTTTTTTCCCACCTTCCTGTGTCGTGGATTTGCCATATCCTTGTCACTTTAACACTGAATACAATTGTTGTTTTGTTTGCGATGTACGTGCCGGACATTAAAAACGTTTTTGGAGTAGTTGGTAAGTTGTGGTGGTGACTTTTTTTGGTTGTGTTTTTGTTTTTATTTTTTTTAATTTCTCCTCAAAAAATTCAATATTATGATAAGCTAATATATATACTTTAATCTTGCTTTAAGTAAAATCTTACTTTCTGTTTTTTAAAGGTGCGACCACGTCAACATGTTTGCTTTTCGTATATCCGGGACTATTTTATCTTAAACTTAGCAGAGAGGACTTTTTATCACCACAGAAACTTGGGGTATGCTTTTTTTTCACGTGCACTAATTATATTTAAACAGGCTCATTTTAGATGCATCTTGATACACTGTAGAGCACATAATCCAGGGGGCAAAGTTTTTGTTTTAATTGCAGTTCACAGAATCTGTGAGCATTTTCTTTTATCCTTCATGATAGATCTAATCTTTCTGAAACTCCTTCACAAGAGATTTTTGACTAGCAGTATGTCCATATGCCAGACTGTTGATCTGAATACATGCTTTTCCCTATAGTTTTCAGATGTTGACTTTTAATCCAATTTCTGCTCAGTTTTTACGCATTACTCTGATGTTGTCTGGACAGCTGGGACAAAGCCAAACTTCATTTAAGTGACACGGTGTTTGTGCTTGTTTTCTATGTAAGCCTACTCAAATTTTTTTTTTTTTTTTGCCTCTTCCTTTTTATTTTCCCTTCAGTTTTAGTTGGAGTTTGCGCATCAGCCTGATTTTTGCCTTGTAACTGTCTGCATTTTAACTACTGCTCTGCCGAGCAACTTCATGACAGTGGCTAAAATGCCGACAGACTGTTTATACATAGTTCTTCTGCCATTCTTGTGATTCATAGGGCTGTTCTTGTATTGACAAAATAAGGAATCTGAAAGAAAATCTAATACTGATGCTCTCTGACCATTTAAAGTCTTGACTACTTCCAACTGATTTGAGGCCTTGTTATAAACCAGCAAGCTACTGTGTCTTGAACTGTAGTTTCATTATCATCTGGCTATTCAAAAATGTAAAAAATGTATTTTAACTGTAATTATGAGTAAAATACAAATTCATTTTCTTAATTAATTCAGAGTTGTATAGAGCAACTTTTAATTATTTTTTTTTCATCATAGTGTAAGCAAGCACACTAGACAGGTCTGAGAGTTCCCAGTGAAACTATCCCAAAGGAGGCTTAGTTTAGTTTCCCCCTAAGCAGGTACCTTGTGTTTGATGACTGAGTAATTGAAACCCTAAAGATTATTTTTAAAGACACTATACAAACCTGTTCTTACAGGTTTTTTTTCATCATTAGTAATAAGCCTTAGAAATGTAAAATGCTTCCTTCAGTAAAACATTAATTTTTGCTTTTCTTTCTTCACAGGCATGCGCATTGGTTATTTTTGGCATTTGTGTTGGCCTTCTCAGTTTAGTTCTAATAATTTTCAGTTGGATTGATCAATAACAGCCTATTGTCACTGTCTGAACTGAGCTTCAGAAGGACAGCAAAAACGAGAGATGTGTCAAAACTACTGAAATGAATGCTGGACATCCTAAAGAAAACACTGACCCAACCTGTCTGTGGGAGAAATAACGTTCTTTTTCACTGCATTAGTGAAATTCCTTCTTTAATCTTGAGTCACTCTCTTCAGTTATTGGACAATTAGTCTTTTCCATTCTAAAGTACTAGTTTTTAATGACGTATTCATGACAGGTAAAAGGACTCTTGATAATTTCTGCAGTGCAAAAATGGTTTAGTGCACATGGTGAACAGAAGCAGAACCTTGAAGTAACTTCTCTTTTAAAGACAATGAGATGGATAAATACACATCAGTCATGATGGACATACTCTGATGTGTACACTTAGGATAATGCACACATTATCCTAAACCGTGAAAGACATCCATTGCTGAATAATTTCCAAAATTTCAGCTGGTTCATATTAAGAACTTCTGATTCCAAATGTTTACCCTAATTTATCCTAACATGGATCCAGAAGCCAGCTGCCTTAGCCCAGTTTAATGGGCACATCATGATAATACTTGTTAATTGTTTTTTTAAATACAGTTTTTATACCTCAGTGAACTTGAATCATACTGAAGTCATTTTTAAATTAGAAGGTTTTACCCATCTAGCATAATAGCTTTCAGTAGCATTAGGAAATATTTTCAGTTTGCAGTCAATAACAGAAATTTTTCAATTAATATCTGCTTTTGAATATCACCCAATGTACCTCAGTATTCCTCCCAGTGAAAGACTTCTTTTTCTCTCTTATTCCCATTTTTACATTTTTTTCATATTTGAAATAGAGTGTTTCTACATTTTATGTACTGTTGTGTGTCAGAGAATGTTTGGGATTGAAAGGTGAAATTCTGCCTCTGTTGAAGACAAAGGAAATTTTACATTTATGGAACCCTAATTTTGCCTTGGATTTTTATAAACCTCCATGTATCCTTTTATAATTCCTTTTTTTTTTTTTTCCTAAATGAAATGCAAATGCAGTTTTCATCACCAGCTGGGGTCTGTTAAATATGGTATTCAGTACCCACCACAAAAGTTCCTTGTGTTAGTAGAATGAAAGCAGTGGTTGATACTGTGGTAAGGTTTTAAAAATTTGTTTCTATCAGATTGGATCTTATGTCTTTAAAATAGCCTAATATCTTCAGAGGCTTTATGCCCTAAGGTAGCTAAGCCTCCACAGAAATTACTTGTGTAAAGTTAAGAAATAAGACCCTAGCCTCAGAGAATGGGAAAGTTCTTCATTATTTCCAGATACAATATTTCTTTTAATTTAGCTTAGCACTTTCACGTCTGAGAAGTGGAATAAGACACAAGAGAATCATAGCAAAGTAATAGATTTATGTATTCTGAAAGAAGCTAATAAGTGACATTTAAATAAATTGTTCAGTCCATAAGGTGCAAAGTTAGCAGATTAGTTGACTGTTGCTAGAAAGTCCTGCTGAGACAGGCGTGTCCATATGTTGACCTGTGTTTTATCAGTTGAGACAGGGGAGGTGCCCCAGAGCTTGGCATTTCTAAGGTCTTAGCAGTGGGTCTGTGTTATTAACCTTTTTAATTGTGTCACATTGGATTTGGAGAACACTGATTGATGTGCCAACTTTTAACATAACCCAGATTGAATGTGCTTGATCCTCACCTGTCTAACAGGGGAGAACAGCAAATAGCAGAGTTGGAATCACTTTCTTTATTCCTCAGTTGTCAACCCTAGTATTTTCATGCCACTTGGCTTTCTCAGGATCCATAAGATACTTTTCATTTTCGATACATGGCCTGAAGGCACCCAGGTGATGCAGCTTGGTACTGCTTGAGGAATCCTTTTTGCCTGGGGAATATTATTGTACTTACGAGTTTAGTATAGAAATAGACATGTGTGGTGAGGTTTGGTTTTGGTGGGATCCCTGGAAAAGACTGCAGTTATTTTTATAATAAAGCTTCTAGCAGAGGTTTCATGACACAAGGTGAGCCTTCTAATAGCTTGTCAGTACCAGAAACAGCATGTCCACTCTTGGTGAGAAGTTCACAACTACTTCTGTGGCACTGCCAGTGGCTCCTGGTCAGCACGTTTAACTAGCGGAAAACCAGTGTGACCACAAGATGTGACACGTTATCTCCCAAAAAATGAACCGAGTGAGCTCACCTAGGGGACAAGAAAAGTGAGGGGATGGTAGGAGCAGGACCAGCTTTCTGAGCAGCCTTTAGATAGAACATTTTTCTCATAAAACCCCACGTTTTGCCCAGCAGTTCTGCTTGAGCAGGTTAAAGTTTTTGCGTGTGCACGGAGGGGATGCCTCTGACTTGAGAGGTCTCTGGCCTCCTTTGATCAAGGGATCGATGGGGTTTTCTCAGCATTCTCTGAGTATTAATGGCTGAGGCTCCCCATCTTGTCTTTATTCTTGTAGCTCTCCCAGCTTGTTTAAGTCCTGATAACCAGATGTAGCTGCCTTCCTGCCTGTGGCTACCCTCGAATAGCTGTGTGTCACAGGCTTCGTTATGCTACAGGGATTGAGCCACTCAGCGTATCTCTGGCAGTAGTGTAAAAAGCTGAATATTTACCTCATAAAAGTGAACCTTGAGAAAGCAGTGACAGCTGTGCATCAGGAACTGATTTTCTCTCTGACTGAACCAAAACTTTTTAGTAAAACAGGAGACTTTACGCTCATGTGAATGAAGCGTAGGGTTTTTTCAGACACTAGAATTTAGGAGGAATATTTATTAGAAATTTTACAGAAATTGTTTCTCATTTATCATACGCTGTTGTAGCATACTGTTGAGTAATACTTGTAATCACTGCAGTCACTTTATTTTAAACTCTGACCAGCAAGACTTAACACTGAAGACTTAGATTATCTGTGAAGATGCAGAAAGTTGGCAAAGTTTTGCTAAGCTTTTGCTCTTTCCTCCTCGCCATGAAAAAGCGGAGACTTTCCCTGCACTGTAATGCTCTTTTCGTACACAGGCAGTTGGGTTTGTGTGCATCAATTGAAAAAAATGTGACTGAGAAAATACCTGAAATACGGTGTTAATTTTACAGTTGATTACTGTAATGCTTCGGAAATCACTACAATATTGGTTTTAATCCTAACTAGCCTGGCTATTAACTATCATAATAGGTAGACTTTGGAATGATGAATACCAGTGAAGTTAATACTGGGTGAGGATGAACGGAAGCAATTCACACCTCTGCTGGAGCACTGTTATTGCATTTTGGCTGTGGTGCAGAAAGGATAGCAGCACGGAGGGTTGCAGAATGTGTGGTGCCTTTCACCTGCAAAAGAGTTAGAAATACTGCTACTTTTAACTTTCTATGATACTTAATTTAAAATATGGAGAGAGGGAGAAGAACAAAAAGAGAAAGAACTTACATTTCCCAATTGAGAAAAAGATATGAGTGTTTTCCACAATAGAAAAAGCAGAGTAAGGGCACTATTTTTATCCTTTGCATCTCCCACAGACTGTTCTCTTTGTTGTGTCTGTGTAAAGGTTTCACTACAATTGTGCACTCACATGAATTTTTTGAGCAAAACAGGCCTCCCATCTGAAACTCTCTGCTCACTCACATTATGCTAAATATATTTTTTTTATCTTGTGTACCGATTTTTTGTTCCCTGAGCTTCCAGATTTATAAATTTCAGTGGTTCTGCTTTCCTGCCTGTCATTAGCATTTTCCATCTTTCTTTTCTGAAGACTTAACAGGAATGGATGAAGGGGACTGCAAAATTTCTGAACTCACTTGGAAAGGTTGCCTTTCCCCAATTCAACAAGAACAACAATGTAAGAGATGAAAATTAATTTGTTGCCTTTGATTTGATTTCTGTTTTTCTCCAATTTCCATTCCTTGCCCATTTGAAGGCTGATCAAATTTCAGATGGACTTTGGTAAGCTGGGTGTGTGGAGTGTCTTTTGTAAACAGCAATGTAGGAGCTACTACTGCAAAACAAAAGCACTCTAAACCTGTCTTTGTATTGTGGCAAAATGCTCATGTTTTATTCCCGTGCTTCGAAGCAGTTTGTATCTTAATGTATTGATTTTCATGGCAGTAAGTTTGTTTGAAATTCTCTCTTTTGTCCCTGTGTAGTGAAAATTGAGACACTGTGAAACTCCTATCCTCTCTCTGTCCCTCCTTTCACCTTCCCTTTCACTTCAGTTTTGCCTCAACATCAGTTAGGTGGCACCGAGCAGGAATGGGCCGTTAGCTGAACAGGCTGAGCCATCCTTACGGGGAGGGTGGCCTGGGCGAGAGGGTGTGGGTCAGGGTGAGTGTCACGGGATCCATGCCCTGCAGGCCTGGTCTTCCCTACGTGCCTACCACTGCTCACCACTGAAGGTCAGTGCTACACCTAGGCAGACCTTTCTGGTGTGCCCATTTTTTTGTTCTTGTAAGAATTTGCCTTTTTGAAACGTGGAGGCGTTTTAGCTTTGCAACAGGGCAAGACTGTGGTTTGGAGTTCCTAAATCACTTGTGTTGTGTAGTATACTCAAGGTGCCATAGTTCCTACTCTTGCAACCCTCATAATGAGGGTGAAAACACGATGGTGCAATGGCATCTTTCTGATTAAGCTGCTAGGGTAAATGTTAAATCCCTGAGCAGCTCGTAAGCATGTTGTTTGCATGAGAGAGAATATGGGCTTGTACTTTATCAGTGTATTTCTCAGGCCGTGCAAAGTATCGTTTTGGTGTGGATCTGGAAGTCAGTGCTCCCCCAGCTGTAGTCCCTGGGGGCTGTGAGGATACAGTGGGGGTGTCAGGCCACGCTTGCCTGTTTGGAGGCTCCATAGGCATAGGGTTATGGACCTGTGTGGGTGTTTTGCCTGACCCAATATGGCCAGTCTCATTGCAGCTAAATTCCTGAAATAAATTCTGAGGATTATTTGTGAAGAAAATTAAACACTTTCATTAGCATGAGCTGATGCGCAGTCAGCGTTATACATGGTAGGGGAGGACAGAAGTATGTCTGTGCTGGATAAGAGTGATGTCCCTGTTACTGCAGAGGTGTCCCTCGCTGGCAGGCCAGCTCCTGAGCCAAAAGGAGGTTTGAAATTCAGAGTGCTGCCAGTTCAGCAGCCTGGGGTCTGCATGTGGCTCACACTGATATTTCTGTTAAAAAATAGAGACATACTTACCAATGGATCACTACAAATACATGAAGATTAACCAAGTTGTTTCCAAATGTCCCTACTTAAGGAGATGAAAATTAACATAGTTCTATAGTGGGCATCCTAATGTGCTCTGTAATTGCAGATTGAAATTCACATCAGTCCAGGAGCTAAAGGAACATTGTTATAGAACTCTTTTCCCAATTAGATTTAATTTAACACTTTACATGAAACTGTTGTTTTACAGTTGACCTTCATGTTGAAAATGTTGAACATTAGTTGTAGTTGCTCCTCATACTGAAAAACCTTTGGACATGTTTACTGCTACTTCTTAATGACTGCCGGTGGGAGAGAATTTTCAGTATTACTTAAGTGCTGCCTAATTTTTACAGCTTGTGATGGTGTGTTTTGTTTTTGTGTTTCAGTAGTGATCATCCAATCATGCCTCGTGTGAAATTAGAATTCTTAAAAAAAATTATCTGTATGTAAAAATTGCCTCGGTCATGTCAAACCTGTATGTTGTATAAGAGATTTCCTATTTTGAGTTCTCCTTCCCTCAGCTTCCTTGCAGAACAGCCAGGGCATGTTCCAAAAAAACCCAGAAAATAAAGAAGAGTACTTGTGTAACTCACGCAGTTGTCATCTTTGTGTGTAACGTGCCTTAGTGAAATAACCACACGTTGCCTCTGCAGTTCGTTGCTGACGCGCAGTGGTGTTGCTGCTAGCCCCAGCTCAGGCAGTAGCATCACTACTGCCAGGGAAGGGTGTTGTTCCTAAAAACCATTCCTGGTTTGGTGGTGGTAGCATATTTGTGCACTTACATGTGCTCTCCTTCATCTGCGTAGTTCTGTGTGACCCTCACCCTGTTCTCTAGGCGATGTCTTGCAGCACCTGGCTTGAAATGGATGCGAGACATTGTCTGGGAAGCTGTTACAAATTGCTCCTCCCGGACCCGTCTACTCTCGGTGCTTGGTTTTACTCTCTGAATGATGCTCTCCAGAACACAAAGGATGCAGAAAATAACTTGTCCGGTGAGAACTGCAGCTGACGTCCTCTCAGGTATTGGTGTGATCGACAGCAACCTGCCTCTTCTGCGCTGTTCTGCTCCCCCTCTGTAACACAAGAGGCAGCAGAAGAGATCTCGGAGGCCGTGGCCGTGCAGTGTGCCGCCCCGTGCCAGCCCTGCCTCCGGGCCACTGGCAGCGGGTGCCTGACTGGCCTGCAAGTGCAAAGCGGGGTGAAAAGCTGCTGGTTTGGGGCAGTTTGGGAAGGGTCAGCTTGTGCTGCAAGGTGAGGGTCAGCCAGGGAAGGCAGAACAGTTTGTTGCAGGGTAGTAGCGAGAGGGATGGTGCCCTGGAAGGGCTCTGGAGCAGGGACGTGCTTTTTGGCTGTAAATCATGGTGCTCTAATAGCTGTGACTGACAGCCTGTGAGCGCTTTGCAAGGTCTAAGGGAGTCCTGAATAGAAATATAAAGTGGAAAAAAACCCCTCATTATTGTGCTGCTGGCTTGATTCCAGAGCTGTATGAATGCTCACACAAGTGGAAACGAGGATCGGCAAATTTACGTTTTACTTAGTAACATTTGACCCAGCAAAACTGGTACCAGATCACACAAACCCCAGCTTTGTCAAGCGCAATGCAGAATTTGGTCTTGCACCACACCGGCTGCTCCTACCTGGTGGTGTTGCCAAGTGGGTCCTCTCCGTGCTTGGCATTTCTCTTGCCTCCAGCACTGCTGCTCGCATGTCAGTGGTTTATACAGCAGCCGCATGACACCAGGCAGCTCTCCGCACCTGGTTTAAATTTAAAGCTCGTTTGCACATGATGTCACACTTTTATTGTCAGCTGGGCGAAGGTCAAGACAGTTCATTTTGGGAAGGTTTGCATTGTTGAGCCTTTACAGTGCTGCCATTAATGCCTTCACCATCTGACTTCCATTTCAGTTTTCTGGCATGAGGTAATCGAAGGCACTAGATTTATATGACGAATGGGGAGGCTGGTGCAGTGGCTAATCAGCCCAGGTTGCAGAACTACTTTTCTGGATACCGAGGGTGGAAATTATTGCTCCCCGCATCATGTAGCAAATCACAGATCTGGCCAGAGGAGAGTTAAGGAGCCCTGGAAGCTCGGAGCAGTTGTTACAGGCTGTTGCCTTTCAGGAGCCGTTGATCTGAGTGGGACGGTGTTCCCGGGAGCCTGGTCTCTCCACCCTCCCAGGTAGCTCTGCTTGATAATGGGATTTACACGTGGGGATGGAGAAAAGATTTGGGATGTGGTTATGATGGTGCAGAACCCATAGGTCTGGAGTTGAGGGCCATGAAAATCTCAGGCCTTATTCTCGCCTCCCGCAGTCATGATCTGCTGTTTCAGTTTGTACGTCGGTCCGGAAGCAGGGCTGTAGCTCAGCGTTTCCCCAGCTGGGATTGTGCAGCCCATGGCTGTGAATCTCCTGTAGGAAGGGTTTAAGCAGCCTGTGTTTTATAGCTTCTTAGAGGTCTGGCACTGGGGGGTAGCTCATGGGACGCGTGTTTAGGGTTTTGCTTTGGGATTTTGATGAACAACTTCCATCCCTCCTAAAGGGAGAAATGGCTGAATTAATGCTTTTTATTGTCTACCATTTACCTCTCTAAATACATAAATTGATGTTTGATCCTTCAGGCCTAAGCTTTGAAGAGCCTGAGCGGTGAGACAGAGTCAGATTCATGTTGGTGGGTACCAAATGTGGACACAGAGGCAGTCTGGGCAGAAGTTCTGCTGGGGGCCTACCTGTTTACCCGTGTCTAAAGCATTGGGGTGAACTTCTGAAGTAGCACTGACCTCCTCCTCTTGGCCTGTTCCAGTTGCCAGTCACTGGGCGGTCATAGGAGCCCGTCCGGAAGCTCCCTCGCCCCTGAGCTTTGGGTAGGGGCGCAGGGGAGTTTCCACTATTGCTCACTGACCGGGTGCCGGCCAAGTTCTTCAGGTGTGGAGAGCTATCTAGGTGAAGTCACGTGGTGGGTAAGAGATGCGGATGGAAGGTCTGTCTGGAGGTGACTTTGCTTAAATGGTGAGAATTGAGGTCACTGGCAAGCATCTGAGACTCAACACTTCCACAGTCCTTCCCTCTGCCCAGATCCAGAGGAGGTTACAGCCTTTGCTGCCTCTTTGATGTTGTCTACATGTCTGAGTACAGGCTCCCTGTGCACATTCCTCTCAAGGAAGATATGTGGAATTTATGCCCCAAACATCGCTGCATCTTCAGGACTTTGGTCCTTTTACCCCTCCTGGACGCGTGCTCTTTTCAGGAGCGAGGCAGCACAGCACGGTCCTACTTTCAGACTGCAACTTGCCAGGCACTCGTAGTGCGGAAAGGCAGAGTGAAGAGCTAAGAGCCCTTTTATTGTATCAATGGATGTTCATCCATAAACTGTTGCATGAAAGTGGGGTGCTTCAGATTCGGTGGGCGCTGAGACCAGCCGAGTTATTCCTGTGGCACCAGGGTTGCTGGCACGACACAACGGCAGCACATCCCAAGGCTCCGAAAGGGCTCGAGGTGGGGATGAGTAAGAACGGCCTTGGCCGCTACGCAAGCGGTGATACCGCCAAGGGCAACCAGGCCTCTTGCACAACGTGATCACCAGATGGGACTAGGGAGAAAGGTCCACGTCTTGGGGGACGGCATCGCACAACGAGGTGTGCCCCGTGGGGCCTGCGATGCTCCCTGGCAGCCGCAGCGGGACAGGCCGATGTGTGGATACGGTCATTTTTAATGCTTATTAGAGCGTCACTGCTGGAGCCAGCTCCAAAATTGTTGTTGAAATGGTACGGTTTTCCTTTTGGTATTTGCTGGCACAGTTTCCGCTGATGTTTACAAGTTGTTTCTTCTGGAACCATCTGAGCAATGGGAACATTCGTCTGGTCCGTTTCCAAGGGGAGATTACTCGAATGATGGTGGAATCAGAGAATTCAGTGGAGAGACATTGTCTTGGCCTGGCTGCCAAATGTTAGTCGAAGACGTCTGTCTTGCCATTCCTTAATCTGACAGTTCAGTTTGGTGGGTTGGAAGCCAAAGAATGACGTTTCCTCAGGGGATGCAAAGCCTCAGGCTGGAACTACATGGAAACCATGGACTGATATTTTTTCCCCACAAATTCTGAAAGTTGATATTCAGCCTTCTTCCAGCCACTGCAGCCATTCCACCAGCGCAGGGGCCTCGTGCTTGCCACGTCTTGTCTAAACAAGGCCTTTCCCTTTGAGCGGAGGTGTCGCCGCACATTCTCCAGTGTGCTGCGAAGGGGGAAATACTTGGCTTGAGCACTTCCCCGCCACCCCTCGCTCCCTCTGCGGGGGTGGAATACAAACATGAGGGTTTTAGGGGTCCCAGGAGAGACCAAGTGAAATTCCTTACTTTGAAATGAACCTTAATGCCGAGAAACTGAGTCTTTTAAAAATCTAATGCTAAGCACAGTGTTTCACTAGGCATAAAGAAACTCCACGTCCATTAGTGTTTTGATAGCTCAGTGTTATCCATTGGGTTCCAGCATCTCAGATTCAGGGGACTGCGGAAGCAATCTATTGAGTGGTGATTTTGAGGGGTTTGAGGTTTTTGTGCACGTTTTAGCCCGACCTTTGACTTACAGGGTTTGCCTCTCCTGAATTCAAGAAGAATTGGATCAGTCCTTTGAAGGTGTTTACTTTAGGGATCTTACCTCTGTGAAAGGGTAGCAGAGCAGCCTTGGCCATATAAATCAATTTGGAAGTGAGTTATAAAGTGTTTAACTTGCCTTCTATTAAAATTCCTTGTCGTCCCTCCAGTCCCTACAGCTCGCTGTTAAATGAGCTCTTGGGAATCTGGGGATTGAAGTCCCTTTCTGCGCTGCAGAGGGAACGTGCTTGACTGGGAAGATCTAAAAAGCAGAGTCCGATGGACGTTGCCTGTAAAAACAGGTGAGGTTTTGTCAGTAATTTGGTGAATTTAAAAGCTCCTTGTCCTGTGTCAACCCGGCTCAGGGGGAGGACACAGCTGAGTCTGCCTTCCATTTCTGCACAGTGCCTGGCACTGTAGCCTGCTCGCCCCGGGGCTCGCTCACCTCTTGGCTTTGGCAAACTGGTCCCAACCCAGCGCTCTGTCGCTCACTGAGGGCTTTGAGTGATGAAAAAGGGTGCCCAAGGACATGGGTGCCTGAGGACCGGTCCCCTTTTCTGCTGCTGTCTTGCTGCTGGGAGAGTGTTTAAGAGCCTAAATGCTGGAGGCTTTCAATGCAGCCTGAATCTTCAGGATCCAGCCCCTAAAGAGGGGTTCCCTTTGCCTGGGTTGGGCACAACTGGGCTGGTCCTGGAGCAGCCGTGGGACTGTTGGGTTGCCTCTTGAAACTGTTGACCTGGAACAAAGCGTACACTCACAAGAATGTGGCACCATCCCTGCTGTGCAGGGGGTCTGCAGGGCTGGACAGGGGACATCAGCCCCCTGCTCTGTCACCCTCTGTGTCTCAGCTGCCTGCGCCTCCCCGGGATGGTTGCCTGGTCCATCCTCACCCCCGCGATGGTCCTCTTGCCGTGACCCATCTTGTAGCCTCATCCTTCGCCTTCAAGGAAACCAGAGGAGAGCCCGAGGTCAAAGCCTGTCGCTCAGCCCCTTCTGAGCTGGCCAT